CGAGGGACCGATGAGATTCATAATGCCCGACCCCTCAGGGAATGCCCCAGGTTATGGGTGCTCAGGCTTTCCTTCGACAAGCTCAACATAAGGAGTCTCAACTCGCCGAACTTGAAGGCTGAACATGTGGAGCACTTTAGACCCCCGAAACAATTGGGAATGCAAACCCTCAACACCACGCTGTCGAGACGACACGCATATCAGCACTACGAGCTCAGAAGAACGGCAAGAGCAAGAAGGAATCGATGCTTCATTTTCCATGCAAGAAGAATGACCACAAGCATCATCGTCATCATCTTTTCGTTATCAGCAACGGCAGAATGTGCGGGAGATGCAGCCATGGAGGCAGCAGCGATAGTAGCATAATGAATGGTATCATCATCATTCTCATTATCCTTCCTGTTGTTTCGTGCTTCAAAAGAAGTTCGAGTGTTACTGGCACCATCAACGTCGCCTTCTCATCTCACTCGTCTATATTACCCTTCTTGCAAAAACTAGTTATTTCGTAGTTAGCCGACAAGGAAGATGGTGATCATGATAATGCTGATGATTGTGATGATGACGGCGGTGTTGGTGATGATGGCGATGATCATGATGATGATGATGATGATGATGATCATGGTGCCGACGTCGCTATGCCGATGATGATGCGGATGATCTCGGCGATGATCGTTTGGCGAGGATGATGACGACCCTGATTTGCGTGGAGGTGATGAGTATGACGGACGTCGACGCGTGTGCGGCGGCTGCTGCTACTACCCTTACAAGAAAATGTATACTCTGGTGGGCTTATCTTCGGACTGCCACCCTTACAGCAATCCTTGTAGAACCCTTAGAGTAACCCTACAAAATAACCTTCATACCCACCCCCTATAGAGTATTGCCGCAACCATCCCTACACTAAGCCATAAACCCTAGACCCTAACCCCAAACCCCTAAACCCTAAACCCCTAAGCCCTAAACCCTGACAGCAGGGCGGCCGTGAGGAAGCAGCTTGCTGCCAGCAGCCCGGAACCTCCTGTCAGGCGAAGACTCTCGCTGCACTGCCGAAGATCCTGCAAAGGGTGCTTAGGGTTTAGGGTTTAGGGTTTTAGGGTTCAGGGTTTGGGGTTTAATAGTTTAGGGTTCAGGGTTTAGGGTTTGGGCCTTGTCCCTGTGCTGGTTAGCGTCACGAATTCCGGATAAAGGGTTTAGGCGGTTTAGGGTTTAGGGTTCTGGGATCTGGGTATGAGGGGAGGGACGGCACGTAGCTGAGGCTGCAGCGGGAGTTCTTACTGCGGGGGCGCTAAGATTTCAGGGGCACGCCGTGTGTTTAGTTCTTCGGGCCCCCACACAGGGATCAGGATTGCGAGTTCTGAAGACTAGAGGCTACAGAAACCCGTGCAGTATCCCCGGTATAGAACCCCTAATAGTAACCCTTGTAGTAACCCTTATAGAACCCTGACCGTAAGCTTTGTAGACTTGGGCAACCTAACCCTGGCCCAAGCTGTAGCCGAGACTCCCATAGGCGAAGCTCACCTCGATCATCCAGTGCCGCAGCGTAGGTGCAACCTCTGAGCTCAACGCTTTGGAGTTCGGAAAGTTTAGGGTGTAGGGGTTTAGATGTTTAGAGTTTAGGGTTTAGGGTTTGGGGTTTAGGGTTTAGGGTTTAGGGGGTTAAGGCTAAGGGTTTAGGGAGCTCTTGGTTTGGAGTTTTGGTTGATACTGGCGCTTGAGGTCTCTACTGTAGCGTTTCAGGTTGGGGGGGGGGGTAGGGTCATGCCCCCAGTTCCTCAAAACACAGCTCGCCCTTGTCTTTTTTCCGGGCTGCTTCGTTGCATGCAAGTACAAAAACTCTGCACCCTTCTGATGACAGCTATGCACTATGACTATGAGCTAACACAACCAGTGTAGCATATGATACGCAACCATGCCAGCACAGCAACTCATGGCAGAACAGCTAAACACGTCAGAAAACATTATCTACCTCTGCATCCCCTTCAACCATCATCTGATTTGCGCACATGCCGCCACACTATTGGAAACAACACACGTGCTGTGGAAAACTAGCCTTGCAGATGTGTCTTCTGACGGATGATCCTCGCCCAGCCTCACACGTACTACTTGCAACGATAAGCTGATTTGGCTACATTAGTCTGCGCGGCTGTGCAGAAAAGGAGACTACGCAGCAATGGATAGCGGATGTGGTGGCGGCTATGTCCGTATCGGGGCTTCGGAGAATGGAAGTTCTCAATGTGTGTTGGAGTGAGTCAGCGGAGACAGGGGCATGACGCACTCATATGAGCAAGTTGGAGTTTCAAGGAGCAAAAACAATGCCATGCATGACAGTTTAACATAAGTTGGCATATTTCCGCATGATGACATCTACTTAGTGACTGACGTAGCATAACAAATGATGTTGCTGCTGTAGACGATATTTCAAACGGAACGACTTATGGCTGGTGCCATGTTGGATCACACTACCACTGCACTGAGTTGTAACATTCTACCGAAGCTGTGCAAGGCTTAACTGCAAACCGTTTCATAGAAATAGAATGCAATATGGCATGCTGTAAAAAGATTCTATGATCGCCTCGGGCACATGGGCTTACAGGATCAAGGGAGGGGCGCATGAAACGAGTTAGTCCCGGTCCAGCTCCCGTCATCCGGCAAAGTCTTTGCATGTGCTCTATCGTCTCGTGTCCTAGGGATCTTGTCCTCCAGGGTAACACCCTACTTGGAGGTTCATGGGTAGTTATAAGTGGAGATATAAGTCCCATGTTGACCCTACTTATGACTCCACCTATGGCTACCCATGAACCTCCAAATAGCGTTTCTAGCGGCTTCGTCCTTCCAAGCAGCCAGATGCCGAGGAGGTGGCATCCGACAGCGCGCAGGCAATGGCAACCCCATCCAACTCCCTGTCCAACCTCAGGGCCCGAAGGCCGCAGTCGGTGCTACTGCATTATTTATACCATCTGCTACATCTTAAAGGATCTACTATATAATATATACCCTTTATGAAATATTACAGTATGACAATCATTGCCGCGTTCACATCTGCTACTCGTCCAGGGACCTTATGAGGTTGTATGGACAGGCTCGAATCGCTTTACAGGGAGCTGCTGGAAGCTCCCATCCGCTTTGGTGTTTACAGTACCACGCGATGGGAAGGCTATCGAATCGCTACTTACAGCTCGACCTGCAGATGTGTCACTTGCTTGCAAGAGGCGGAAGAGCCCATGGTGCCACAGGCTCGAGTTTTGAAGAACACAAGAACATGACTTCGCGTGATCCCGAGCATGTCTGAGGGCCCCTGCACAGGCTGCCCGCTCCGCCGGTCCCATGCCATGAGCCTCAAGTTAAGAGCAGCAAGGACTGTTTCATGAATCTTCATGGCGACACGAAATCGGAAGCGTGTTCTCCAAAGATGCAAACAAGATCAATCAACAAAAGCCCAGGAGCTGCTGGTCGGAAGCGCCCAGAACGAGAGGCCCAGAGCAGGCCGCGCAGGCCACCGGCTGCTGCAAGTCGTCGAATATAGTCTCGCTCTTCAGGCTGGCCTGTGGTGGGCGTGCAGTCGTCCTAGAAAACGATGTCTACTGCCTTCATCTGCCTTCCAAACTGACAAGTTGCCACGAAAGCCAAGCGACCGATGTCAGCGCCCAAGTTACAATCGACTGGTCTCTCGAGCCGGACACGAGCATCGTGCGACATGGTCTCGCACTGAGGCAAGTAACCGTGTCAGCATGCATTTGGCTGCGCGACAAGGAGGAGCCACAAGAGGTGGAGTATAGAACGACTGCATTGTCGTGACCTCCCAAGGCCAGTAATTCAGTGTCGAGCGCCGCAACAGCAGACAGCGGCATCGGTGAGATTCGGAAGTTGCGACGTGAGGACACCTGTGCAGACGCAGCGCTTAAGCCTGTCGGCAACGGGCTCACACGTAAGCACCCATCCTCTCCGACGGCGTAAAGGTTCGTGGAGCAACTGGCCATGCCTGTAATGCCTCCACTCAAAGCGAAAGGAGCCACCACCTGCGCGTTCAAAGATCGCAGGCTCGACAGGCTTCCTGCACGCGACCGCCATAACTCTCCGCCTTGGAACATAGCAGCCGGCCCAGGCAGTTGCGTTTGCGCTTGCCTCTCTGGCGGACTCGTCTTGGCTCCGTTGACAGCCGGTGCCACGTAGCCCTGGCCCTCAGCTCCAAAGTCCGTCCTCTCCAAGGTGCCCTCAAGGCTTTCACGCGCGATGCTGCGCACGGCCTTGTACCAGGGCTCCGACTGGCCCTCGTCCTGGAGTTTGCTCAGGGGCCACTTTGGTGTCCTCAGTCTGGGTGGGTGGGCCTCGAAAAAAAGCTGGCGAGGCATTCGCCCGAATTCCTGCAGCTGCGTCTCCAACACTTCCATGGGCAGAGACAATGCATCCACAGCTTCTTCAGGCGAGCCCTTGGAGCCCACGTAGCATACGGGGTGGAAAAGATTATCCGCCTTCACCGCTGCATCGCCGGATTGCTTGAAGCCGAAGATCAGATCAATCCAGGAAGGCAGGTGCTGCGAAACATGCTCACTCTCAAGAGCCGCCCGCATCTTGCTGATGAAGTCGCTAACGTTGGATGCCCAGCGTGGTAGGGCCACATCGCCCAAGGGGAACTCCGGTGTGACGATGCTCAGAGAGTTCTCCAACCTTGGTGCATGCGAGAGGTGGGGATGTTGCTCTCCGGAGGATCCGGAAGGAAAACAAGGGCCTCCGGAGCACGGCTGCAATCAATTTCTAAACCGAGTATTCCCGATACGATGGAGTTGAACAGCTCCTTAAACAAGTCACTGACCAGAAACCTCAGCCTGTCCAGAACAAGTTTGGATACTTGGAATCTTCTAATAGAGTTTACCTTGCGGCTGACATTCATGCCCAAAAGCAAGCCGGTAATGCAAAGTTTGGCGGGCTGTGCTTAGCATGGCTAGACATCATTCACTGTATGTTGCGTAGTCGTCAAGAAGTACTACCACCGCGCGGTCGTCGCAGTGTCCGCAGGAAATCTTGTCGTGAATGTCACCGAAATATGCAGTCTCACTTCGTCCAACGTGGCTCTTGCAATAAACCTGCGGCACTGCCATCTGGATTACTGCCGCGACTCTGCCTATCATGATTGGCCGGACTATGATGACTGTCAGTCATGGCAAGATATTATAAGTATCGTCGCCATCACGATCAACGTCACGATCACCACCAGCATCGTCATTATCATCAACATCATCAGCAACATCATCATCACGAATCATGCCAGTGCAGCCCCCAAGCAGTGAAAGAGAACCGGGCAGTCCACGGCCATATCCAACCCCACTCCAGGAGAACCCATGATGCTCCAAAGACCGGAGCACAATCGGCACCCCAGAACATGCGCCGCACTGTGGCGGGAACACTCTCTCTGTGTGTGTGTGTGTGTGTGTGTGTGTGTGGGGTGTGTGTGTGTGGGGTGTGTGTGTGTGTGGGGTGTGTGTGTGTGTGTGTGTGGGTGTGGGTGTGTTTGTGTGTGTGTGTGCGTTTGTGTGTATATGTGTATATGTGTGTATGTGTGTGTGTATCTATATATATAT